TTTGGTAGAAGCAGAGAAGAATTAATGAGAAAGTGTACGTGAGAAAAGGAAAAGAGCCAAGTGATTCTAACAGTGTCAGTTTTGTACCCTGACAAAATGAGATAGCAAATAGAGAAATAATTTCCTAGTTGAGCATCAACACATTGAATTTGTGTGCTCCAGAAAGTTAATTCTCTGTTAGCTGTGGAATTCTCTGTCATTCATGGAGCCCATGAAAATCCTCAGTTGGGTTACATTTAGGCCTCTGCAATTCCAGCCAGCTCCTCAGGGTGCAGGGTGAAAGAACATAGCAAAAAATAGATGAACAAAAGAGTAACAAGGGTGAAAGAGTGGCACCTGGTCAAGAAGAGATTAAATTAACTGGAGTATTTCTGCTTGGAAAATATGTAGGAAAGAGGCAGTCTGACAATCTGACCATAAATAATGTGAGGCTGGTAGACAAGGAACAATCAGTTGTTGCACAATAACGGTGAGATTACAAAAAAATATTATCAGGCCCTTACTGGTATCAGGCTCCACAGGAGAGGAAGCAGCGTTCCACACACTGTGTAATCTGACCGTGTAAATTATCTCAGATTCTGAGAGTATTCAAGATTTCCACAAGCAGAGTGAGCAGTTCACGGGAGGAAGGCTCACGGACCGGCCCTGCAATGCCAGCTTACCCTAAAGCTGGCTCTCATCACTAGTGTTAAGCTCTTGCACGGATCAAACTGAAGACAACATTCTGTGTTGTGCAGAGGAGTACCAGCTCCCTGGGTGAACCTTGTATTTATCACCACCACTTTGTGGCCTTCAGAACAGCCTGGAATTTACTGCATGAGTCTGAATGGCCCAAGAAGCTGGCAGTTCAAACCCAGTGTTAGTTTCTTGCTGTTGGATCCCAATACAGTTGGAGCTGACAGTGCCAGTGGCACATCTGCAGTGTGTAAGAAGCTTCAGCTTCAGCCCGTCATGGACCCAGGAGCAGTATTCTCAGTTTTGACAGTAGTTAAAGCTCCTGGACAAACTGCAAGTCCATGCTGAGATCTTGCCAGACATACTCGTGAAATAATTAATGTTTCATTTGAAGTGCATTTATGAAGTGGACTTAAATTCACTTCAAAATACTTACTCCCAAGTAATCCATCCTCAGCTCTAACGTAACTGTGTAATTCAGTCTACTTTATGCCTTGCCCACAGTGTACATGAATTTTAACTGATAATTCATCTGAATGTGAATTTTTATAGCAGAATGGAAGCAACAACCTAATTGTTTTGTGAAAAAGAAAAAAAAAAGAAAAAAAGAACAGCTTCCAAATCTTGCTTTCTCTCTGGATTTGAACTCTGCTTTTTTTATATAGGAAAAAAAAAAAAAGCCTTGAACATTTAGTTATTCTGTAACCAGGCATTTCAGGTCAAAGACACAGAAGAGTTCAAAAAAGATAAGAAAATTAAAACACCAAGGTCAGAGGAGTTCTTCTTAAGAGGAGTGAAGACAAATCCAATGAGGAAGCAGAACACAAATCAATGTCCTATCTACACTTTGCTTCCTTGCCAAAGACACTGAAAGAGTCTCCAAGAAGTAAATAGATCTCCCATTAGAGTGCCAGTGTTGTCAAGGGAAGCATGAAATAAAACACTCACTGATGAAGAGATTGCTTCTGAGTGCCTCCCCAGAGAATTACTGGGAACAAGAGCCTGCTGTAACCATAGGGGAACTGGTTTTATTTCCAGTGCTACGTCCTAAAGGCACCTTGGCTATGAGCCTGCATTCTGCCTCTTTTTGTGGGGGACAAGGATTGAAACAGGAGCTACTTTCCTGGTGCACTGATACGTTTTGCTGTCCCGTGCCACCCCGCTCTGGCTGTTAGGTTTGGAAGCAGTACAGCAGGGCATTGAGGGTCTCCTGTGCAGGAGGAGCTATTGGGCACCTCTTTCCTTGCACATTTTTCAAAGGCAGTGGGCAAGGGAGTTTGGTTGTGTTGCTCATGGGACCACTTGCTGGCCTGTCACTGTACCTGGCATAAAGAAAGGCTCACAAGGATGCTTTTCCTTGCTCACAAGGAAACACCTCCCCTAGTGTGATGGCATTTTTTTAAACAGTCCCCCCTGAAATGGGGAAGAACAAGAGAGTGATTACAGCATGTGTGACACTTTGACTTGTCTCCCTCTGAGGTGGGGAGATCTTGTTTCCCAGAGAACATGGTTCTGAGTGAGAGCTCTGACCTGAGCCCTGCCAGGCTGACAATGAACAGCAGAGCATCACCCTCTGGGGAGGATGCGTGTATGTGGGATGAAGTTTCACAGGGGCAGCCAGAGGAAACTTTCAGTCGGATGTGGAGTGGGATTCAAAAGATTAATCACTCTGGAACAGGGCTGCAGTGCCAAAGATGCTTTGTTCCAGGCTGGAAAACACCCAGGACTGGACAAGCATATGGAGACTGTGCCCATCTCCCATTAAGCTTTAGCTAAGCGGTGCTAGCTGTGTGCACAAAGCTTGTTGTGCCATATGCAGCTCCATTCAGGAGTCACGTAGTGCAGTGAGGCTGTATTGAAAAGGAATCATTCTTCCCAGATGTGACTGGCACAGAAATGCTACACATCAGTCTTGTCAGGCTGTACAGCCTCTTAGCAGCCTGTTGACTTTGCTAACTCACTTGCCAGTACCTGTAAAAAAACGGTGGCACAATCTCTTTGTCTGCAAAACCAGTTGGTATCTAAGATGCTCTGAGAGCCTCAGAATGACCATTTTCTTAAAAGAAAGAGAGGAAAAAAAAAAAAAGCCTAATATCTGATTTATCAGGATGCATTTCCTCTATGTAACTCGGGCTGAGCCAGTCAGAATGAACAGAATCACTTGTTTTAACCCAGGGTAACTGATTGCAGCGTCATTTACTCAGCGTGCTCTTTTAATACTGATTATGCCAATAGCCTGAGCAAATAAACTGGAAGTTCCTGACGGCTCATTCTTTGGAGAAAGGTCATTCACCCTCTGCTGTGCATGGCCCCACTAAAGAGGTGTGTTTTTTCAGGGACTGGGGCGAACCTCATCTGTTGGACTCCCTTCACAGGTGACTCAGAAGCAGAATGAATCACAGTGCATAGCACTCCGAGAGGACAGGACCTGGTCGCCGTAGGAAGGAGCTGCCGGGTGCTTGGGGAGACGTCTTCACACGGTGGGGCTTGGAGACATGGTGAGTTAGCTGGGATTAGCTGCCATTCCTGGTGCTCTCGCCTGTGAGTTCATGTACAGCTACTGTTCCTTGAAAGTTCGTTTATTTATTTTGCATAGAAAGCTAAGATTCTCAATTTTAAGTAAAGGCTGCATTTCTCATCTAAGAAGAGACTGAATGGCAAGGGAGGGGTGGGCTGGGATAACTCCTGCATATAAACAGCCCTAGAAGCACTTAAAGGGGCATCTGCTTTAACTGAGATTTGCTCTTTACCTTTTGACTTTTCAAAGCTTGAAAAATAGTACAGTCTGCCTTCCTGTCTCGATGCTTTAAATACTAAACATTCTTCCTGTGTTCTTTAAGTGAACTCAGCTCTCAATGTACCTTTGTATATACAAACTCATCCATTCGTTTCTTCATGATGTGACACTGTATATCCTGTATGAATCCCAAAGACAGGGCGTCCCGCTTGGGTAATATGTTTGGAATAACTGACACAGCTTAACATGATCAGTTAAGACAACCAGCAGATAAAGGGTCTGAATGACAAGAGGAGACGGTTCTACAGAGTCTGGGATGCGACAAGCACATTATCTCATACTGTGTAGTGAGTATTGAGGAAGGACACCAACAGGATGGCCTTTCCAGATGTTTTTTGTTTCCACCTTATATCGCTATAGTGAGCCTCTGAGGACTTGTCATTTGCAGGGTGAGAGCAACATCTGGCTTGATAAGCAACCAAAGTGTTAGGCCTGATAAGGATCCACATAGAAAGCAAAGGTGGCTCCACAGCATATGTGGAACAAGATCAGTTTTCTTGAGGTTTCATAAAATGCCATCAAATCCCAGAAATCCTAGGTTTGAGCAAGAGGATTTGGGGGTGGCATTGGTGAGTGACTCCTTGTTTGACAAGGACACAGCATCTGCATTTTGCAGGTTTCAGTGTGAAAATGCCATTTCCAAAACGAAAACAAAGATGAGATGGCTCAGGTACGAACATACATTCAGAACAGCACAGGCAGAATGCTTCCTTCATAGGCACTGGCCTGTTTATCCCTTCTGCTTCCACACATGCTCAAAATGCACGTACTGCCTCTCATTTGTGTTCCCCATGTTGTACCAGATCTGGGAAGCACCCCCTGTCTTCAGAGGCCGTGACCAAATTCCACAGCCTTGAGTTGTCTGAGGCCTGTATCTAAGGGCGTGCCCCCATCCAATGGCTGCCAGAGCAGCTGCTGAGACACAGGGGTAAGGGAGCAATGGGGAAGGCATCACCCGCGCTCTCTCACCTTGTTTGGTGATGCAGTGCTCAGCCGAGCTGGGACACGGAGAGCAGAGCAAAGCATCTCCTGAGGAAAGGTGGAGGAGATGACTTTGGAGGAGATCCAAACTCTTGAGGGTGTGCTCGATGTGGGGCTCGCTGGTCCTTACGGGTTAACTGATGGTGCAGTGCTCTGGGTCGCGCTGGTCAGCCACACGTGGAGGATTGACAGTCCTGAGGGAGCTCTCCCACGGGGTGCATACAGGCCTGAGAGCACTTTATTTGTAGCTTTGGTGAACAGAACTTCCAAACTAGTTCAGTGGATGTAAAAGATCCTTACAATAACAGGAGTTTCCTTTAAAGGCTTCTACCGACTTGTCCTGCTAATACAAGATCAATATCCATCTTCCCAAGAGGCATCTTTTAGCAATCTTCTGGAGCGTTCCTGCTGTGCAGCTGCTCAGAGGTGTCTCTCAAGTTGAGGAACACCTCAGGAGAAAATCGGCAACAAGTATGTCAAATTTTCCTGCTCAAGCAAATGATTAGACAGAAGCCTTGCACAGCAAGATTTAATGCATTCAGGTGGCATTCTTACAAGGGTGTAGCAGACTTATAAGTTGATTTCGTTGGCACCAGCACTCCATTTCCTTCTTTCTGGGGAGTGAGCTGTGTGAACAGCTAAAGCTTACCTGGACCGTGAGGCTATTGGCATGCCTAACTGCTGCAAACAGTTTTATTTGTATATTCCGAAGTGTAAGATCAAAGCAGACCACGTGATGTATTTCAGAGTCCTGTCCTAAAAGCATCGCTAACAGGAGATTTTCTGGCAGCAGGGAGCAAGCCTGCATGCATGATTGGCTATAAACTGTGGACTTTGAATCGTGAAGACATTGAGAGTGGGGGGTGGAAATAGGAGCAATCATTAGGTCTATAACCGATAGGACAAACGCCTGCCCATGGAGTCAGCAGGAGTGTTACTGACACAACTGGTGCTGTGGAACATGCCTGTGAGTGACTTCCAGGGAACAGCTTCAGTCAGCTCCTGGCCATGCTATAAATACAACTAGAGGTTGTGAGTATCAGACAGCCACTAAAGTCCAGCCTTCAGATAATAATTAATCGCCCGTGGGGCCATTCACCTATGAATGGATGACAATTCAGATAAAGCCAGTGAACAGCGACAGCATCTCTACTGCCTCGCGGCTGAGCAGTGGGCTGAGTAGATCCAACATTTCTGGTTTCAAGAGAACTTAGAATGGACAGTTTTCCTTGCCTCTGACTCCATTCCTTCCCTTGGCAGTCATTAGTCTCCAGGCAATATCCTTGGTAGTGCTGGCTGCACTCAAGCTGTGCTTTTATGGGCTGTGTGGACAAAACTGCTCCAGCTCACGTTGTCCTGGCAGCCTCATGGACTGGGAGGTGGCAGAGATACAGTCAGGCTGGGTGGGATGGGACCAGGGAAACTGAAAGTCTTCTGCTCAGATCAGGGCCCTCTAAGGGAGGCTGAATAACTACATTGGACAAGCAGCTATAAAACCTGGACTAATGCCACTGACAAGTCGGGGACTAAAGGTCAAGGAATTGCTTTCTGCTTCCCGTATGAATGGGAGATACCTTTGCCTCGATGGCAAGCAGGCTATTATTCCTCTTGAAGCTGAGCCTTCTTCTCCCTCATCCCACACCCTTATGAGCACAGATTTGTTTAAAAGATTATCATTTCTACTTGTACTTTTGTCTCATCTTCTGTAGACATCAGAAGAGAAACACAATGGCCCCCTGTCTGCACTCCTTGTGCTCAATAACTCTTGTAACTTCCAGGGCTCTTGGTGACTGAATCTTCACCTCTTGCCTTTCTTTCCCAGGCATCTGCAAACTGAAGAAACACCGGTGAAGTCGTGATCCACCCCAGTTGCACAGACAAATATGAAGTTACTCTGGATTATCTCATTTTTTCTGCTGCAAGGTAGAGTGTTCGCTTAGAGGACAATGGTGTGGGTGAAGTAGGTTACATTTGCTAGGGCTGTGTGTCTTTATGGGCTCACCCACTCCAGGCTCAGCAGGGGTTACAGCATGAGGTTGTGTGCAGGGCAGGCTCACAGGAGCTGGAGGCACATGTACAAGTGTTTCCAGCGTTGTTGTATGGCCTTACAAATGCCTCACTGGCTGAGGGCAAACACCTCTTCGAGTGTGCACATGTAGTATCATGGCAGAGGCATGCATACCTGGACCTCAGCTGTCTGGAAATAGGTCTTTTCCATCTCCAGGACATGGCACTCTTTTTCTCACAATACACCATGAGCAGCTGGGCCTAGGCATGAGGAAATCTACACCCTAGACCTTTGTTCACAGCAGTATTGCAGCCTCTTTTGCACCAAGGAGGACACCTGACTGTCATGAGGGTGACACACGAACTGTGTGTGGGTGTCCATGCTTACATTCTGATTTCTTTGCAGACACTGAAACTTTCCTGCTGCAAAATGCTAAAGTCAAGCAGTGTTTACAGGCCAGCCTAACGGATGGGGATTTATTGCTGTCAGACTGTAATTCAGCATCAGATTTCCAGAACTGGTTTTGGCAAGGAGATTCTTTGAGGAATCATGGCACACAGAGCTGCCTCTCCGTGGTGGAAGCCGACAGAGTGCAGATAAGTCCTTGTGACAGCGTGGGCTTCACGAGCTGGAACTGCTCCAATTCGTTGCTCTTTCCTCTGGGCAGCAGCCAGGGCTACCTGGTGGCAAGCAAAAAAGGAGTCGCACTCGAGAATGTGAGAGGTCTCAAGGCTCAGTGGCAAAGCGCTGCAGAGAGGAGTGTGTGCAAGGAGAAACCAGGTCAGTGCTGCCCGTGGGGCCCAGTGCACACACACTGCTGGGAAATGTGGGAGGGCAGTGGGCACCCTGGGGTCTTTCCAGCTCTGGGTGCCCCACTTGGGGGCAATGCAGAAATGCATTCCTCAAAGATGCTCCCTACTTTCTGAGCATATGAAATGAGGTTGTGCATCAGAGCTTCATTCTGTTTGCTTGAAGAGATGTCATGGACAACCCTGGGAGCTAAGGGGAAGGCTATTTTTTGCCTGCAGTGAAAGACCATCATGGCTTTCTGTTCTTTTCCTCCACAGCAGCGCAATATAGCTACTTATCCGCAGCCCTTACCAGCACAGACGTGTATGACCACACAGCATACAGTGCTGGCCTTCTGCTGGATATGGAGCCAGAAAAACTGGAGGAGCTGCTGTGGTTCTTCCGCAGAGAAGACCGTAAGTCCCATCGATTTATGGGGTTGAGAGTTGACACAGAAATGTACAGTCCTTGGATGTGAATCCTCTTGCTACTTGAGGTGCCTGAGAGATTTATGTAAGGGGATTACTTACCCCAGAAATGCAAACCCTCGGTTTCACCTCCAAAGGAAGTGGGACATGCCTGAGGCCAAGGCACGAGGCTTTGCTGTGATCTGGTTTAGAGAGCTGTGACAGGCAGGAACCAATTCTGCAAGTCTCCAACCCAGGGAGGGAGGGTTGGCTGAGGTTATCTCCAAAAACAAGAGCTGAGTGTTCTGCTTTTGATGCTGAACACCTCTGGCCTCAGCCTGCAACTGAGATATAGCAGCCAGGGTGTAGGGATTGTTAAGGAAACCTGGCTGGGCTCTGCAGGCCACACTGCTCCATGCATGCCAACACTGCCTGTTTGTGCTTTCCCCCAGCATCACCGTGGAATTACTCCATCCTTGCGCTTTCCTTCGTGGTCACAATTTTAGGTTTTGTCCTTCTGTCCATTAACATTTCACGAAACAGGTAAGTCAGGAAAACTTAGAGGTCGTTTGAGGTGTGGTGCTGCAGTGAGAACATCAAACAGTTCATTGTAAAACCTTGCATGGCTCTTTGCTCTCCTCGTGTGTCACTCAGAACAAGCCACTTTACTTCTCTGTGAATCCTTAGTAAAGCATCTGTCAAAGCACTGGCTAGCCCAAGAGATGTGTTAGGAGGAATATGTGTATGTGAGGGGCTCTCCTATAAGTACAGGAGCACTCAGGGACTCAAGCAGGACTTCCCAGCCATCTGCATTCCCACGGTGTTTCCCTGTGCTGTCCCACTGCACAGCAGTCCTTCAGCTGAGGGATAACTCACTGCCTTCTAGGCTGAGAAACATACACCTGCGTGTACATAGAAACATGTACTGTATGTAGAAACATACACCAAGCTTTCATCTTGAAGTAAGAGCAACAGAGATGCTGCAGGTCTGCCCTGCCATCCTCTCATTTTAGTGGTGGCTTGCTGGGTGTTACTGCTTTGCTTTAAGCGATGTGGGGCACTGTGTGTTCTTCAAATGTAAGCATTGTGGCTGTGTGTACTCAAACACTTGAGACCACTTACATGACACAGTGCAGCTGGCAGGGCTTCCTGTAAGCAGCTGAAGCATTCCCAGTGTTGAGCGTGCAGAGAGATGGAGGGAGCAGTCAGCTCAGGTAGGCACGCACCCCAAATGTGGGCCTGGCTCGCTGCTTCACTCCTTAGTTTCTTTTTATGCCTTCCCTGCAGGAAAAGGAAGATCCACATGTATAAAGAAGCAGCGCAAGCTGCCCAAAATTCTGAGCTGGAAACCAAGCAAGCCCTCATAACTGTGCCAGAATACAGCCCAGAAAGCCCGCAGAAGCCAGAGCCACCGCCACAGGATGAGAGATCGGGAGAGGTGCTGGTGCAGTGGAAGGATGGGACTGTCACCTCTCTGTACAGGGAGACGGCAGAGGATGCCATGTAACAGCTGATGTGAGGCCATAAGGAACCTACCAGAATGTCTCAATGCACAGAAACTGGAGATTGAAAAGTTGAAAAATTGTAGCCTGGAAAAAAACAAAAAAAAAGAAAAAAAAAAGGGAAAAGAAAAAAGAAAAAAGAAAAGAGAAGAAAAGAGAAGAAAAGAAAAAGAGAAGAAAAGAAAAGA